TCAAGATGGCATTAGTACATCTAAGTGCTATTCAAGATGGCATTAGTACATCTAAGTGCTATTCAAGATGGCATTAGTACAAGATGGCAGGGCAATTGCAGCTCATGATAGTCAAAACAGCTAAGATAGCTGAGATAGCAAGATATAAATCCTTACAGATATGACTTACAACCTACCTCTTCTGTCAACCCAAATGGGGCAGGAGATGTAATTGGAAAGTGGTGGTGCTTCAAATAATGCAGCCCCATGCCACAAAGGGCATTAAGATTTAAAAAAAAACAGCAACTTGAATTGAGCCACATGTTACGAAATGCAAAGAAAAAAGTCTGTCTGCCAAGTATGCATTTTTCATACACTTTCATAATTTTATGATAAAAAATTGCTGACAATGAAAAATTAACATTACACAAGTAAACATTCCTTGCCATATGAATATCCACTAACATTTATTCATTTTCCTTAACATCTTTTTCCAGGGCAACCACATAACTCTGTCCAATAAAAGGAGTTAATGTTAATGTGTAACTGAGCAAAAGCAAACAAAACAAAAATTGTGCAGAGTGATGGATATGTCAGGTAGGAAATATCTCACGTTGCCAGTATTGTAAAATGTAATGAGTTTTTCAGCCAACACCAAGATCGAATACTATAACAATGGACAACAAAAATGGCATTTTAAAAAATAGGCTACAGAAGCTTTTCCCAACCTGAGTACTTTCTAGCTATGTGGGCTTCAACCTCCAGAATTTTCAGCAAAGGCCTTACTAGCTGGAAAATTGTAATTCATCTTTCTGGAACTTCTGAAAGGCTAATCTTAATAAAATAGGTGGAGGTGCTAGAGCAAAGATTTTCTGCCAAATATTCTACCCTTTTGTAAACATTCATTTAGTGACCATTCAAAGTTACAAAGACAGTGCAAATAAGTGACTTATAGCCTGTCACTTATAACTGTTGCAGCATTCCCATGGTCACGTGATCAAAATTCAGGCGCTTGACATGTATTCATGACAGTTGCACTGTCCTGTGGTCATGTGATCAGTATTTGTAATCTTCCCAGCCGCCTCCCAACAATAAAGTCTATGGAGGAAGCCAGATTCACTTAATGACTGCATGATTCACTTAACAATTGCAGTGATTCACTTAACAGCTGGGGGGAAAATATTGTAAAATGAGGCAAAACTCATTTAACAACTGTCTTGCTTGACAACAGAAATTTTGGTCTTATGTTGAGCACTACCTGTATTTATTTTTATAACATGATTTGCCTTCATAAAAGTCAATTACCATTTTTGTCATGGCATTGTATGGAGTCAAATTATTAGAGCTTTTAAAAAAACTAGTAGATTTTCATATATCCTGCAGCAAGCAAAACTAGAAAAAAAGGAAAGTCTTTTGGCAGATCTGGATTCAAGGATAGGACGTACTATAATAAAAGCTGTTGTATTTAGTGTAAGCTATTGTGCTTGAAAATGCTTACTATAATCACTGAAAATAAATACAAAATATTATCCAATTACATCACAACTAGCCAAATATCTATGTCTAGTTAGTATTAGCTTTTTCATGCTCTGTGTAAATATATCCGCTCAAAGTAATCTGTGGGAATGTTAAACAACATTGTGAAGATGGTTGCATAAATAAGTTTCTTTAAATAAGAAACTTGTTTCCTTTTTCACAAACCCAATACAGTTTATTCCTTTTATTTATCACTCAGAGAAAAGAATTGTTACAGGTAGTGAGAAAATCTAGGTAAAGTATAAAATATACAAGATATCTTATTCACTAAATATTGCCTAAATCTGTAAAAACATTATTCCTAAATACTTAAGAAGGAACTCTCCAATCAGATTAAAGCAAAATATTTCCTGAATATCAGCACAAACTTTCAATTTTTGTTAACTGCCAGTGTTATTTAGTGGGATCATGTAACTGAGAGAAGGCAAACAGAAGAGACCAGGGCATCTACAAATGATTAAAAAAATACTTTTTCATATCTAAATAGGAAGATCAGATGAGTATCTGTTGAGAAAGATCATGTTTTCTATCCCATTTAGATGGAAGCAGGGAAAGCAAAAGAAACTTGATCGCTGAATATTGTGGGAGGACTGTCAAATGCCCTTTGATTTTCTTGCTCCCACTTGAGTGAAAGAACAAAAAGCAAGATAAAATTTCTCGGTAAACATTGCATAATAATTCTTAACCTGATGTTGTGAAATATGTTAATAAAAACTTTAGAGAAATTTGTTTTATTTATTTCAGAATGTTAGTTAACATTTAAAAACATAATTCAAGGGAGGGAATAATGAAAAACAGTTTTACTGTAAATTAAAAACATCATATCCATTTTATCCTTCCTGATGTACAGTATAAATTTGGAAAAGCTGTCTATATGGCCAGGGAGAAGCCTAAACATTGGGGCATTTAGAGACCTGCCTTATATTTAGTGCATTATCTATAGTATGCATGCATGTAAAAAGGGAGGAAGAAGTATTTAGGTATGTTTGTTGCCTTGAATTATTTATAAAATAAACTTTATAAATAAATATATATTTTCTGTGTCCTAAGATTACTAAATTTTACATTTCTTTTCCACATTCCTGACATGAGATAGGTGAATATTAACAAATTTAATATCACACATTACATATAGACATTTTAAAAAACTAATAACTAAAAGGTACCTTGTATTGGATATGGTGATGTCAGGAAATTTGAGAGCCACTTTGGTTTAGTGGTCAAGGCACC